GGGGGCTGTCCAATAGTCTGAGTATGAATAATGTACCAACGACATCATGTTCCCGCCATAGTAATCACATGCCCACAGGTTAACGATACTGCGAAATAAGAAATTACAACAAGCACACGCACACAGACGACACCTGCCTATCATCTCCTTACGACGAAGCACACGAAATTGAATCAAGTTTCCAAGAAACAAATTGAACAGTTGATGGTACATGTGTATGTAATAAAACCACACACATGTTATTGTTTTACTGTTTATTGCGCAGATTGATATGTTTCACTCAGTCTAAAAGTCTCGTCAACTATACAACCAAACTAATGCACACAGCAATCTGAGATTTCAGGTAAACATATATACAGTAAAAACCCGTTAACTCGAACGCATAGGGACCAGATCAATTGTCAAAAGTCGAGGAACATGAGGTATTCAAGTAATGCGAGTTCGAGTAAGTGGGTTTCACTGTATGTCCTGTTGGCTATATATGACATCTAAATATATCTTATCCGTAGTTATTCCATAACTTAGAGTTTCTTGAATAAAGTCTTTCATGATTACTTAGAAATAAAATCAGTCTACTTCATCTAGTCTTCCAAAACAAAAATACATATAAATAATGGTTTTGTTTATTATAATAATCTCTTCCTCCTCTTTGACGTTGATATGGCGTATAACTAACGAACACCGATCCCTAACTAGGATGGTACCGACCGCTGTGCTACAGTATCTACGCTCCAATAAATCCTTAAACGACGTATATACAGCCAACCAGGTCAAGTTCTGGATACCTGGGATGATTTAACCTCGCAAACACCAATACACTCATCGTCTATCATGAAACTGCACATTCACAAGAAATATTTGTTTGCCCTTATAGTTTAAGAATTGAAAAAGAACGAGTCTGACAGAATAATAAATGCCGATACCCAGTGTTCAAAACCGACGCGGTGCGCTGGTGCGGTCCGGGTAACTTCTGTAAACAACGAGTTTATAAATAGATACGGATAACTGCATGCTGTGACAGGCTTTATACAAGACATAAGTATTCAATGTAAGCTCTCACACGAGTTGTACACTCGGTTACAAATTCGGTTACTGTAGCTTTGGGCGAGTATATTGTCACTTGAATACTGAACTGATATAAACGTTCTATTTTTGTTGGGACTACACCATGGAAGATCAGGATATACCGCTGTATATTTCTTGTTTTGGAAATAAACATTGGCTGAGTACACCACACCTGACCCTGTTGTTGCACCGCAGTGTCCGCAAGACTGTAGCCAGTTCAGATTATCTTCACACAGATTATATTAGCAACAGTTTAATTTTACAAAAAGGTAACATCCATATGCTATCGATTCTTTCTTGATTATACAACAAATATAACATCCTTTCGTGGTTTATAGAAACATTACAAACTTTCGTTGTTTATATAAACATGACAAACTTTCGTTGTTTATATAAACATCGCAAAGTTCCGTACGTGGTTGATACAAACATTACAAGCTTCCGTGATTTATATAAACGTTACAAGCTTCCGTGATTTATATAAACGTTACAAGCTTCCGTGATTTATATAAACGTTACAAGCTTCCGTGATTTATATAAACGTTACAAGCTTCCGTGATTTATATAAACGTTACAAGCTTCCGTGATTTATATAAACGTTACAAGCTTCCGTGATTTATATAAACGTTACAAGCTTCCGTGATTTATATAAACGTTACAAGCTTCCGTGATTTATATAAACGTTACAAGCTTCCGTGATTTATATAAACGTTACAAGCTTCCGTGATTTATATAAACGTTACAAGCTTCCGTGATTTATATAAACGTTACAAGCTTCCGTGATTTATATAAACGTTACAAGCTTCCGTGATTTATATAAACGTTACAAGCTTCCGTGATTTATATAAACATTACAAACTTCCGTGATTTATATAAACGTTACAAGCTTCCGTGATTTATATAAACGTTACAAGGTTCGGTGATTTATATAAACGTTACAAGCTTCCGTGATTTATACAAACATTACAAGCTTCCGTGATTTATATAAACGTTACAAGCTTCCGTGATTTATATAAACGTTACAATCTTCCGTGGTTTATACAAATGTTAAAATCATCCGTGGTTTATACAAACATTACAAGCTTTCGTGGTTTATACAAATGTTACAAGCTTTCTTGGTTTATACAAACATTAGAAACTTCCGTGGTTTATACAAATGTTACAAGCTTCCGTGGTTTATACAAACATTACAAGCTTCCGTGGTTTATATAAACATTACAAGCTTTCGTGGTTTATACAAACATTACAAACTTCCGTGGTTTATACAAATGTTACAAGCTTCCGTGATTTAAACAAACATTACAACCTCCGTGCTTTATACAAACATTACAAGCTTCCGTGGTTTATATAAACATAACAAGCTTTCGTGGTTTATACAAACATTACAAGCTTTCGTGGTTTATACAACATTACAAACTTCCGTGATTTATACAAACATTACAAGCTTTCGTAATTTATACCAGCATTACAAACTTTTGTGGTTTATACAAACGTTAGAAACTTCCGTGGTTTATACAAACATTACAAGCTTTCGTGGTTTATACAAATGTTACAAGCTTCCGTGGTGTATACAACATTACAATCTTTCGTGGTTTATGATGCATGTTTTTCGAGTAGTCTGACCTTCCAAGAACTCAAGCCATCCTCCATTTCTTAAATTATTTCCCAATACGTATTAACCACGATCAATGTGATTGACCCCGAACTTCCTTGACATTTGTCTCATGTTGAGTGCAGCCTGTAGTTTGAATTATAACCACCAGAGCAGGAGATTGCACACAGAACTATTTCTATTAGCATTGTAAGTTTAGGCACCCAGAGTTAAACCTGTTCTGCTGAAAATTATAATAATGTATCTAATTCCAAAACACGTTATCAAGTTAAGTGTGGGCAAGGGACAACCTGCTTCTATACTCCATATACATATATAACTTTACAGCGTATCCAATGATGCAAATAACGGTTAACAACACTCGCCCTTGCATATTTTTTGAATATAGGAAATAAACAGAGATGCACAGACTTTTCTTATCCTTCAACAGAAATGTAATGTATGTTACATTCTCCCTCGAAAAAAATCTGCGTTGTTTATTGGGAATTGAACGGAATGTATAGACAAATACATGTTTTGGCTGCTACCGAAAGTCTGTTGCTTTCTCCACAAGGTTCCTCATATTGTGTTTGGTTTATATTAAATATACATGTATGCATAATGCATTTCCCTCTATAGAGAAGGGAAGCATTTTGATCTCCCCATCCACCGCCATAAATGAAATTGAATCACGAGATTGCCTCGGAACCTTTTCCCTACATAGAGTACCCGACCTACAATGACGGACTCTGAGATCAAAGAATTTAAAATGACAGAGGTTTGATTGGCTGAGACATTGATGTCGTCACACATTGTAACTACTTATCAATCGGCGTCGTCCTAACTACTAACCAATCGACGTCGTCCTTACTGCATGCTTACCGATCGAGGTCGGCCTAAATACTTACCAATCGACGTCGTCCTAACTACACACATATGATCGTCGTCATAACTACTTTCAAATGCATGTCGTCCTTACTACTTACCAATCGTTGTCGTCCAAACTACTCACCAATCGACGTCGTCCTTAATACTTACCAATCGACGTCGTCATAACTACCTTTTACCTACATAGAGTATCCCAACCTACAATGAGGGACTCTGAGATCAAAGAATTTAAAATGACAGAGGTTTGATTGGCTGAGACATTGATGTCGTCACACATTGTAACTACTTATCATTCGGCGTCGTCCTAACTACTCACCAATCGACGTCGTCCCAATTACTCACCAAACGACGTCGTCTAAGCTACTTACCGAACGACGTTGTCTAACTACTCACCAATCAACATCGTCCTAACTACTCACCAATCGACGTCGTCCCAACTACTCACCAAGCGACGTCGTCCTAACTACTCACCAATCGACGTCGTCCTAACTACTCACCAAACAACATCGTCCAAACTACTTACCAAACGACGTCGTCCTAACTACTCACGAATCGACGTCGTCCTAACAACTCACCAATCGACGTCGACCCAACTACTCACCAATCGACGTCGTCCCAACTACTCACCAATCGACGTCGTCCCAACTACTCACCAATCGACGTCGTCCCAACTACTCACAAGTCGACGTCGTCCCAACTACTCACCAATCGACGTCGTCCCAACTGCTCACCAATCGGCGTCGTCCCAACTACTCACCAATAGTTGTCGTCCTAACTACTCAACAATCGACGACGTCCCAACTACTCACCAATCGATGACAACCCAACTACTCACCACTCGACGTCGTCCCAATTACTCACCAAACGACGTCGTCTAAGCTACTCACCAATCGACGTCGTCTAAGCTTCTTACCAACCGACGTCGTCCCAACTACCCCCCAGTCGACGTCGTCCCAACTACTTACCAGTCGACGCCGTCCCAACTACTCACCAAACGACCTCGTCTAAGCTACTTACCGAACGACGTCGTCCCAACTATTCACCAATCGACGTCGACCCAACTACTTACCAGTCGACGTCGTCCCAACTACCCACCAGTCGACGTCGTCCCAACTTCTCACAATTCGACGTCGTCCCAACTACTCACCAGACGCAGTCGTCCCAACTACTCACCAATCGCCGTCGTCCCAACTACTCACCAGTCTACGTCGTCCCAACTACTCACCAAACGACCTCGTCTAAGCTACTTACCGAACGACGTCGTCTAACTCCTCACCAATCGACGTCGTCCTAACAACTCACCAATCGACGTCGACCCAACTACTTACCAGTCGACGTCGTCCCAACTACCCACCAAACGACGTCGTCTAAGCTCCTTACCGAACGACGTCGTCTAACTACCCCCCAATCGACGTCGTCCCAACTACACACCAATCGACGTCGCCCCAACAACTCACCAAACGACGTCGACCCAACTACTCACCAGTCGACGTTGACCCAACTACTCACCAATAACTACTTATCAATCGGCGTCGTCCTAACTACTAACCAATCGACGTCGTCCTTACTGCATGCTTACCAATCGAGGTCGGCCTAAATACTTACCAATCGACGTCGTCCTTACTGCATGCTTACCAATCGAGGTCGGCCTAAATACTTACCAATCGACGTCGTCCTAACTACTCACGAATCGACGTCGTCCCAACTACTCACCAGTCGACGTCGTCCCAACTACTCACCAATCGTTGTCGTCCTAACTACTCAACAATCGACGTCGTCCCAACTACTCACCAATCGACGTCGTCCCAACCACTCACCAGTCGACGTCGTCCCAACTACTCACCAAACAACGTCGTCCAAACTACTCACCAATCGACGTCGTCCCAACTACTCACCAGTCGACGTCGTCCCAACTACTCACCAGTCGACGTCGTCTAAGCTTCTTACCAAACGACGTCGTCCCAACTACTCACCAATCGATGTCGACCCAACTACTCACCAATCGACATCGTCCCAACTACTCACCAATCGACGTCGTCCCAACTACTCACCAATCGACGTCGTCCCAACTACTCACCAGTCGACGTCGTCCCAACTACTCACCAAACAACGTCGTCCAAACTACTCACCAATCGACGTCGTCCCAACTACTCACCAGTCGACGTCGTCCTAACTACTCACCAATTGACGTCGTCCCAACTACTCACCAGTCGACGTCGACCCAACTACTCACCAATCGACGTCTTCTAAGCTTCTTACCGAATGACGTCGTCTAACTACTTATCAATCGGCGTCGTCCTAACTACTTACCAATCGACGTCGTCCTTACTGCATGCTTACCAATCGAGGTCGGCCTAAATACTTACCAATCGACGTCGTCCTAACTACTCACCAGTCGACGTCGTCCTAACTACTTACCAATTAGCTTCCTGCAATCGTTACTGCATAGCATTTATCCAAGTCATTCTCTGTCAAGGTTTCTGTGACAGTGATATATACAAAAACAAAGTAACATGCCGCGGTCTGTCATTGGGGAAGCGCTACACAGGGGCTGTGTTTGGTTGACATACCGCGTCATATTTTTATAATAACACAGCATAGGTTTAATATCAATATGTTGTTGTACTGTCTAAACAACATGTACACATGTAGCACGGCGAGTCGGGTTTGTTATGAAACCTTTACAAGACAGGTTCATTGGAATGATAGCATAAAACAAACACGTCACATTATGAAGGTATTGATAATTTCGAAACATGCCCGAGTAGCTCCCGTGTTCAACACTGATTAGCTCCATGTCACAGCAGAGAGATAAGGCTCGGTAAGCTATCGGCCAAGGTGTGTCTCAGAGACGCATTCTGATTGGTTGGCGGCAGGTGACGCCCATCAATTGCAGTATATAATGTTGTGTTTATGGTCGGACTGTGTATGACAAGGTTATAGTATTATTGTTCCAAGGTGTGCATACTTTACACTCAGGCAACATGTCGTTCGCACGGAGGGGAAAGTTTACGATTTGTATGTGTATTATTCAAGTGATATTTATTATAGTATTTGGAGTGTTCGCAGACTATGACCCGGCAGCGAAACCCAGACGAGAAGATAAGAGTGCGGAAAGTACGATCGGCATGTATCCAAGTAAGCGTTTACTTTTAATCTACATTAAAAAAATCTAATCCGAATCACCAATGCTTTTATAACACGGCTTAAATATAGTTCTAAAGGGTGTTTTCTTTTCTTCATTTTCAATTTAGCACATTATAAACTCAGTCCGTCTGTTTCATGCTTTATCGGTAGTTGAAATCAATAAGTTTCCAGTTAGTATTAAACCTTACAGAGGTAGGCACAGATTCATGTGACGGAGCAGATGTGTCGGTCTTGTTAAACAGATCGATGTTTCTCTCCTAAATCAAAAAATACAGCAACACCTGCATAAAGTGAAGTTTCTAGCATCAATAGAGACAGTTCAGATAGTATACCATGATAGTATAAAGATGGAACAAGGTTGTCGCCATACACTTACATGATTAAAGTGAAACTGGTAAACACCGAATTTATATCCGTCTGTTTGTACTAATTTTATAAATATAGGATATATGTCGACTTGGTTGCATTTTTATGTCGACTTGGTTGTAATTATATGTCGACTTGGTTGTTATTATATGTCGACTTGGTTGTATTTATATGTCGACTTGGTTGTAATTATATGTCGACTTGGTTGTTATTATATGTCGACTTGGTTGTAATTATATGTCGACTTGGTTGTATTTAAATGTCGACTTGGTTGTAATTATATGTCGACTTGGTTGCATTTTTATGTCGACTTGGTTGTAATTATATTTCGACTTGGTTGTAATTATATTTCGACTTGGTCGTATTTATAAGTCGACTTGGTTGTCATTAATCATCCAGTTATGTTCTAGATTTGTAAATTAACAGCAACAAAAATGTATCAATACATTTTTATCGAGAAACACAAATCGGTCTCACTATCCTATTTTTTTGAGTCTCAGTTACACATAGTTGAACATATGTTCAAATCAAGGAAAGTTTTCTTTTATTTATCTTCACAAAGGTTAGATAAAACTCTAATTAGTAATGTATGATACGTCATTGAGCCTTGTGGCAGTGAGAAAGCTGACCATGAGCTGGACGGATGATATCTTCGATTTTGCTTTGTCAAACGTCTCTAATAAAACCGCAACAGATGTCCGAGTTACTGTTCTAGGGCTTTGGTCAACAGTTTTGTGATCATTTGGCATCACCACAGACCTATGACCATATTGAGAATGGGATGCACATCTTTGAGAGGTTACAGACGTGTCAATGTTGCATATAGTTGTACACCTGGGCGATACTGCAATACAGAAACAGGTCAGGGGTAGCGTTATGTACAACAGAAGGCTACTGGGTTGTGGCATACATTGTGAAAGCAGATACTTTTCAGAAATTGTTCTATGTGTTTCGGGAAACAAACTTTAAACATTCATCATCGCCAGTGCGGGCAACCGAGCGTACATTTAAGACGTCGGGTGGGGTTAGGGGAAACCATTTATCATATAATAGACAGAATAGGTAATATAACACTCAGAGCTTCTGAATTGACATTAGACACAACTGACAAATGTCCATTTGAGGTTCAACGTGTATTTTGTATCAAATACGGTGTGTCCAGTACTTGTGGTAATTACTATTAAAGTGATTGGACACAGATGCTGGGATACTTGTGAATCAGAAACTAGTAGCGCGTGCTGTTCTGTTGGAAATATATCATATAAACTTTATTTATTTTACAACAGTTATGAAAAATAACGCACTCTTGACGGCTCGGAGTTAAGCACGCGCAAGTCTTATTGCAGGTGGAAACCGGAGTACCCGGAGAAAAACGAAATTGTCGGGGTGGCAATAGTGACCCTAAGTACTGGTTACACTATATATCCTGAACTTCGAGTTCCACAAAGTTTGGTTTGGTTTAGTATTGTTTAACGTCCTATCAACAGCTATGGTTATTTAAGGACGACCTCCCCTGTGTGCAAGATGCATGCGTGTAGTGTATGCGTGTGTGTTTTGGGAGGCTGCGATATGTTCGTGTTTGTCTCTTTGTGATAGCGCGGAACTGATGCCGACTTTATAGTGCTGCTTCACTGAAATATCCCGACCGGTCACATTATACTGACAACGGGCGAACCAGTCGTCCCACTCCTAAATTACTAAGCGTTAAGCAGGAGTAGAAACTACCATTTTTACAGACTCTGGTATGTCTTGGCCAGGGGACAATATAAAAGCCTTCCTCAAAGGGGCGAACGGTCAACTAAAGGCCAAAAGTGAGGCATTGTTAAGGGAGCCATTAGGAAGAAGAAAGTTGTTTGGACAGAAGAAAAAAGATAGATCCCATATTTAGTCGCCTCTTACAATCATGCAATGGGGGCAGTAGGTACAATTCTAACACCCTACCTGCAGGGACGGTCCCACAAAGAAAACAGAATGTGTTAGAATGTCCGTGAAATGAGCTGTAGATTTCCTTATACCATGAAGATATGTATGTTTTATGAAATAAGTAAACAGCCATACTAACCATCTTTTGATATGGTGTGTGTTTACAGGGTACCACGTACAATAATCACTGATAGAGACACATACGCTCGACTCGGGTCGTGATAAGGACACAGGCCCTCAGGTCGTGATACGGACACATGCCCTCGGGTCGTGTGGTACGGACACAGGCCCTCAGGTCGTGATACGGACATAGACCCTCGGGTCGTGATACGGACACAGACCCTCGGGTCGTGATACGGACACAGGCCCTCGGGTCGTGTGATACGGACACAGCCCCCGGGTCGTGATACGGAGACAGGCCCTCGGGTCGTGATACGAACACAGACCCTCAGGTCGTGATACGGACACAGGCCCTCGGGTCGTGATACGTACACAGACCCTTAGGTCGTGATACGGACACAGACCCTTGGGTCGTGATACGGACACAGACCCTCAGGTCGTGATACGGACACAGGCCCTCGGGTCGTGTGATACGGACACAGCCCCCGGGTCGTGATACGGACACAGGCCCTCGGGTCGTGATACGAACACAGACCCTCAGGTCGTGATACGGACACAGGCCCTCGGGTCGTGATACGTACACAGACCCTTAGGTCGTGATACGGACACAGACCCTCGGGTCGTGATACGGACACAGACCCTCAGGTCGTGATACGGACACAGGCCCTCAGGTCGTGATACGGACACAGGCGTTCAGATCTCGATATGGATACAGGCGTTCAGGTCGTAGTGCACCACTATATAGTGTCATAGCGTGGTTAGATGTTCCACTTAAACAATCATGATAGCACTTCATATTTTGGTTTGTTTTGCGGTAGCGCACTACAACCAAATCGTCCGTATCCCATCGGCACATGTATAAATGTCGGTATTATATGTAATTATTTTAATGTGTTTTGACCCGACACAAAGTCGTCAAATAGTCAACCCATTCACTGGAGAAATGTCAAATATAAGCTACCAGGATACAGATGTTTCAATGACATAACCGTATATTATATAATTTCAACTGATGCTCAAACACTGGAGCAAAAGGTTAACTACACTTCAAACAGAGGTACTGTGTGTTACAAACAGAGGTACTGTGTGTTACAAACAGAGGTACTGTGTGTGACAAACAGATGTACTGTATGTGACAAACAGAGGTACTGTGTGTGAATTGGGTTTGATCGCTGCTGTTGTCCACTATTTTTATCTTTGATCCAATTCAATGTCGCACATAAACTATTATATACGTAAACCACACTTCCGGCCGAACGTCTGGTCAACGTTTACTACAAATACGTAAACCACACTTCCGGCCGAACGTCTGGTCAACGATTACTACATATACGTAAACCACGCTTCCGGCCGAACGTCTGATCAACGATTCGAGTTCACAATTTTGAACATTACATTATACATACAATGACAGTATTCGTCTATGTTTCTCATACTGATTTGCAATGCTGACAGAATAATGTTTAAAAGTTTTTTGTTGAATGTATCATCTTTATTTAGGAGACGTACATTGTTCTCAAAATAGGTTATCTCGGCGTTGGGCAATCAAGATTAAACTATAACGACTATCACAGCTAAAATGACCATGAGCCGAAGGAAACTTGGTTTATATTTCTGTTCTAAAGAAAGTCATTTATTGAAAAACGTATTTCAAAAGTGCAAATAGGTATATAGATACAATTATAAATGTATTTCAGCAGTTGGAATTCTTATCACTGTACAGAAATAATTCGGGATTTAGACAAGAACGTTTTCAACATTTTGTACAAATATCTGTCTTACAAGCATAAACTATATACAGTAGGCCCGTGCCTTAATGTCCCAGTGTTCACTGTGATCTAGCGCGCGCATCACCTCGCCCCCTGAACGGTGTCTTGTATGTGTCCCTCGATTAATTGTTCATCCTTTTATAGCTAATATATACGGTTCGTGTGCTATGTAATTTAACGGTTCACATGAAACACTAAACATTACAAATAATGTTCCTGTGATAGCCAAAAACTGAGGCCCCATTCCATTTTCGCTGAGACTCGGAGTCTAAGTATTTGTCGGTTTAACCTCAATTATCACTTATTTGGAACTCTCCGATGTCGCAATGCGGAAAAGGCAACGATATGAAATTAAAACCTTTAACGATATATTCACCGTACACGTTAGAAAGATGTGATTAATGTTTCTGCGCAAACATTGTTTGCAAATATGGGATATACTTAATCCGGCTGGCTAATTTGTTTTCGTCTAAAAAGCTCAGGGGGAAAACTTATATTTTCAAAATGGTGGCTAGTCCAAACGGTTTCTGGGCTTATTCTAATGGTTTGAATGAGAGAAAAATACCCTTTCATTCCCAAGGGTGTGGGATAGGGAAATTCTACCCCAGGGTTTTTCAAATTTGGTAAAACCCGGGGCTTTAATCGCCAACGTTCAAATTGCAGAGTAAAACCTTTCTCAATGAGATAATGATACAGGTAGCCATCGTCTTCGTTAACCTGCTTCTCCGTCAGTACTCTCTTCGTTAACCTGCTTGTCCGTCAGTACTCTCTTCGTTAACCTGCTTGTCCGTCAGTACTCGACTTCTGACACAG